CTCATTGTATCGGCAGTCGATGGCCATCAATGCCGCGCTAACTTTAACGAAGATATTATTGGCGAATGCTCATTTGTTATTGCCTGTAACGGGACACTTTTAGCTGGAAATATGTGTGAAGAGCATCATTGTTGTGTTTCGACTACAGTACCACTTGCACCGACGTGCATTAGTGCCAGTGACTTCGACATTCTTTATAATAAAAGCCGCGCAACCTTTATTCGAAATGTTCTTAATTCAGGAATCGATGCAGCTGGAATCTGCAACAATTGCCAAGCAAAAGCGGCTTTCTTGACAGTAGCATTGATGATGACAGAGAATTTTCAAACTGATGAAGCAATGAGCACTGATGCTGACTTTGCTGCTGATGACAACAAGTATGGAAACACAGAGAGAGGTGATGGTTCTTTTTATCGTCGACGTGGTTATTTTGGCCTTCGTGGAAGAACAATGTATCAAAGGTTACAAAAATTGCGACCACAATTGCAAGTTCTAACTAATCCAGAATCAGCAGCCTTCGTACAAAATTCCGCCATAATTTCTTCCGACATCTGGAAGAATCCGAATTTATTGAACGGTAAGTTTACGTGTATGCATCTCAATATTAAATTCATCTAAAATTTGATCATTATGATAATTCTTAACATAATTGTTCCCAAAGAATTTCGATAAAAATGGATTTGAAGATCACGGTTCATGTGAGGTTGAAATCTTATTTTTTTAAGGATAGGTGGGTGCGTAGACGGGAGTCAAGCGAAAATCCTAACCTACATCCACTCACTTTGAATCTTTTAAACTTGATTAGCTCATTATGATTGATTCATTATTTGTAATCGATTATAATGCGCTGAAAACTGAGAAATCCATCTGAACGATTGGAAAAATCACTTTTAGATTCGATTGAAACCGCCATGTAAATCCATTTTTAATCAAACAGTAAATTCGTTATTCTTCGATTTCTTGTTTAAAAATATTCCACCAAAAGTCGAGATGATAAGAATAGGAAAAACATAATGATATTAGTTAACTTTTGAACACTGGCAAGTGGCGAACAGGCATCCTATTCCGCGATGTTGCACATTGCGGAATCAATTCCGCCCCTGGAATCAGTTCCATCCGATTCCCAGAATCCTGGAATCATCGAACTAACTCGGCTAATTCGACAACGATCGAGTTCCCTCAATTTCCGGAATTGCCTGAGTTGCCACAGACTCCGGAATTTCATGCAATTTAGCAATTGCATACCATTTCGGATTTTCGTTCGATTCCGAAATTGCATGCGATTCCGGAATTCCATCTCATTCTCACCCTCAGCTTGTCTTGCGTAGTTAAAGATAAATATCTGAAGCAAACGAACGAGTCTCGAATGAAATTTCGAAATTACATCGAAGAGGAGTTAGACGGAATCGGACGGCATTCCTGGTAATTCCATCCAATTCCGCTTCGATCTACTTCCAGAATTCCGTTCTGGAATCGCTCGTTTGTTTCAGATGTTTATCTTTAACTACACAAGATCAGCCGAGGATGAGGATGAGATGGGATTCCGGAATCGGATGCAATTCCGGAATAGGTCTGAATTCCAGCAGTTCCAGAAATTGAGGAAACTCGATCGTTGTCGAATAAGCCGAGTTAGTTCAATGATACCGGAGTTCCGTAATTGGATAAAACTGATTTCTGGAGTGGAATTGATTCTGCGATCTTGCACATCGCGGAATAGGATGTACTCTCGAGAAACTCAAATTAGTATTTCTAAGATTTACTTGACTTAGCGGGCTACTCATGTAGACAACACTTCTGCTGGATCAATTCTAGACTTCACGATTCTCCAAAGTACCTGACATATGGAAGATTATTGAGTGAAAGAAACACTCAATACTCACTCCATTCTTCATTTATCGAATAATATTGGTGAAATGAAATCGATAAAGTGTTTGATATTTGCATGAATGACATCTCGTTGTTTTTTCTTTCTATGACACGGTAGAAACGGCTTTGACACCATATGCTGATGGCACATTTTGGGGATTTTCCATGTTGTGGTAAGTGTAGTTAATGATTGACATAAACAACTTTGACACCTATTCATTTTCCCTTTCTTGACATTTTTTTAAGGTATAAATTAAATGCAGATATGAAACAGCTCTCCAGTGCCACTAAATATTATTCAAAATTTCTACGTCAGTTAGGATGTGGTGGTGATCTGTATCCGGGACAAGGTCCTAGTTGTGTTTATAATAAGACCCATAATGGTTCATGTTCGGCAGATTGTATCAGAGGACTCGAAGATTCAGGTGCGTACTGCGGTTGCAGTGGTGAAAGAGGTCCACAATGCCCAAACAGTCCAAAACATATTCGATGTTGCGCGGATACATGCGCACAAGAGCTCAAAATGGATTTAGGTTTTGTCCTTGATGCCAGCGGTAGTGTGGGTATAGAGAATTATAGACTCCAGCAAACGTTTACGAAAGATCTACTTCGTCGAGTGAACGTCGGGCGTCAGAAAACGCATGTTGGCATCATAAACTATTCTGATCAATTTGAGACCTTGTCATGGCTGAATGAAGATTATGAGCTCAATGAAAAACTTCGACGAGTAGATGATGCGACATACTTTGGTAGTGGGACGGATACTGCCCAAGCTCTAAGTCAAGCAAATATTGTTTTTTCGTATGAAAAAGGTCGTCGACGACCGGAAGAAGGTGCAACGCCCGTGATATTTTTAATTACTGATGGAGTAAGTAATAATCGATCTGCAACTATTCAAGCTGCCAATGTTTTAAAACAAAACGAGATTATTTTGGTAAGTGTCGGCGTCGGTTCAGGACCAAATTTAGTAGAATTGCACGCAGTTTGTACGCCACCTGCAAGTGAAAACTATTTTGCCATATCCAATTATCAAGCTTTTGATAAAAAGCTCAATCAATTTACATCTAAATCATGTTCGGAACCCGCTACCATTTCATCTAATACGACTATTACCATCGAAATATCCAAGAACAAGTATAAATTTTTAAAAGTTGAATTCGTTACGGTTGGGAACAAAATTTTAATTACGGCATGGCTGTCCAATGGTAATGTAAAACTGTTTTATTCGTTTACAACTCGAAACCCGAGAGATCCAGCTGAGTTTATTGATTATGAAGCAAGCACGCGTGATTCTAGTCTATTACGTGGGATGCAACTCAAGTCTTATTTTTACCAAACAATTAAAGGAAGAAACATAGCAAAAGATCGTCGTGTAACTTTAGTTATCGATAAACCGGATAGCGAAGTTGATTTTGTCTATCTTGGTGTGAAAGGCGTCGAAGAAGACAACACGTTTGAATTGACAGTTGAAGATTGTAACAAAGTTACTTGTAAATCAAATGCATTGATCATACAACGAAGTCTTTTATTAATCGTTCTTTTTGGCTTTTTTCTTCGTTGAAAGACTTTTGCAAAAAGATTGTTTCTTGTGATTTTTCTCCAGTATATTTGTCTTCCAATAAATTGTCTTCACTTCTAAGGAAATCTTTGGAATTGAACAAGAAGGATGAAATTGTGTGTTCCAATAAGACTTGATGCTGAATAATCAACTTTCTTCTCAGAGTCATCAGTAAACTTCAAATTGCTAACCAGTATATTTGTTGCCACTATCTATCTATTTTATAGTGTGTCTGAAAGCAGTGAC